ATGGCGTGATGCTGGGCTCAGGGAGATGGCACGATGCTGTCCTCAGGGAGATGGCACGATGCTGGGCTCAGGGAGATGCACGAGGCTGGGCTCAGGGAGATGGCAGGATGCTGGGCTCAGGGAGATGGGATAAAGCTGGGCTCAGGGAGATGGCACGATGCTGGGCTCAGGGAAATGGCGTGATGCTGGGCTCAGGGAGATGGCGTGATGCTGGGCTCAGGGAGATGGCATGATGCTGGGCTCAGGGAGATGGCGTGATGCTGGGCTCAGGGAGATGGCGTGATGCTGGGCTCAGGGAGGCGGCATGAAGCCCGGGCTTCCCAGGCCATGGGCACACAACCCTTCAGATCCTAGGAAACCTCATAAACAAAGTCAGACCCACAGACCTAGAGTGGGCCCACAAAATCAGTCCCAGATTACCTGGGGGCTCAGAGACAGCCTGAATCAGGGAGCTGAGATGCTGCCCCAGAGATGAGCTCTCCTGGGCGGGGCTGTGGGGCTGCCCTGACAAATGAGCAGATGACAGAAAAGGCCACTGTGCTGAGGGCTCATCACACCTCGAGGCTGGGCTCTGCTGCTCATCCCCCTGGACTAGGAGAAGCAGGCAAGTACCCTGTGTCACAGCCCCCTGACCCTGCGCCCGACCACCAACTGCTGCCGACTAGAAAGGCACCGAGGAACGTTCCAAGAAACCACTGTGTGTCCCCTGGCTGGTGTGGGAGTGGGAGGAGGAGACTGGTGGGAAGGAGGGGTGGGCTGAGCAGGGCTCTGAGCCCTCGCCACAGAGCAGCGCGGGCCCGAGTCCTTTCTCTGGTTCCCCTGCAGCTGGCGCTGTGCCACCGGCCAGGAAGGTGCCTGGCCCCAGGCCACCCTTTTCCGTTTGTCCGTCATCCATCCCTTGCCGCTGTGTGTAGCTGGCCTCATTCTGAGCCACGTGCAGCTCATGCTTGCAGTGTGGCTAGTTTGGCAGTTTTTTTCGCTACTTCGCATATAAACTCTCCCAAATGAGAAGCATGTTTCACTGTTCATTGGGCCTCGTCCATGCCGTCTGGGGGTGTCTGCGGGGAGAGTGAGTCCAGGGTGACAGCCTAGAGCCGTGGTCGGCAAACCGCGGCTCGCGAGCCACATGCGGCTCTTTGGCCCCTTGAGTGTGGGTCTTCCACAAAATACCACGTGACTAATTAGAATGTCAGTTGGTTAGAGCTCAGCCTTTACTTCCTGCCATTCTCTACAAGTTTAGGAATTATAGGGGATGGGTGCTAATAAAACTCAGTGTTCACTTAGCACTGTACTCTCCCCCAGCTTGGGCAGGATTCAAGATGGCAGACAGCCTTCATTGGGAAAGGGGACTTGGGTGGCTTTATTCCTCCTCTTCTTGCTCACTTCTGTGTTTGCTGTCTCTTCTATTCTCTTCGATATTGCTGTGGGAAAGGGGGAACGAGGGAAGAGAATAGGCTCATTTTGACCTAAGCTGGATGGTTTCATGCCCTTTATCTGGCAGCCTATGAAAAGGTAGACCTGGAAGATGATTTCATTGGTGACTTCTGTGGGCTCCTGGAGAGTTCTGTTCTTCTGATGACCCAACAAGATAGATATTCTAAGTCAGGGGTCCTGAAACTTTTTAAACAGGGGGCCAGTTCACTGTCCCTCAGACCGTTGGAGGGCCGGACTATAGTTTAAAAAAAAACTATGAACAAATTCCTATGCACACTGCACATATCTTATTTTGAAGTAAAAAAACAAAACGGGAACAAATACAATATTTGTATTTGCACGTGGCCCTCGGGCGGTAGTTTGAGGACCCCTGCCCAAAGGGGTCGCGACCCACAGGTTGAGAACCGCTGGCCTAGGGGAAACTTGGTTTGCAGGCACGGTGGTTGTGGCTCATGCCTCCTGCTCACATGCCAAGCTCCTGAGAGGCGGGCAGGAAAGCCAGGTCTCCCTGGAAGCTGGAAACCCTTGAGGGAGGAGATCTGTGGAAAAGTTCCAAGCCTCCATCCTGGGTGCGCCTGGCCAGTGGAGGCCCCTCTGTCCTTGCAGAGGCTCCCCCGGAGCAGGTGCAACCTGAGGAGAGCGAGCACAGCCCTGCTTAGCCCACCCCTCCGTCCCGCCGGAGACACACACCAGGCCCAGGGGTGCTGAGAGGTGAGGTGAGCCTAGGAGACAGAGAGAGAGCAGGTGACCTTGGGGAATCTACACCCACAGAGCAGTGAGAGCTGTTTATTCACCGTTGCTGCCACAATTGCTTCAAAGTAGGAAGGAAACCAGAGCCTCCAGCCTGCAGGCCCCTGGTGGCCATCGACCGGCTTCTGTCCTGTCTCCGTGCGGAGGCTCGGCCAGCAGAGTGGCCCAGGCAGGGGGCAAGGGCGGAACCCACGCCTCCTGCTTGGCGAGGTCGGCCAGCCAGATGGCCATTTAAATTTAGGAAGGGGTGAAGCCAAATTGCCCAGGCTGCCTATAAGTTGTTTTCCTGGACTTCCCGCTCATCGGAGTCTCCCAAAGAATCAGCTTACGGGGATGGGGGGGTGGGGGGGCGCTGATGCAAGTGGCTCACTCAGTGACATTTTCCATCACGACCCCGGTGGTGGCTCCTGTAGACCCAGGCCTGACCCAGTTTCCTCCTCTGTCCCTGTTGTCCTCACACCTACTCAGATACCAGTAAACGAGGGGGACAACATAGTCCTCCGGGGGCAGGGACAGGGCAGGCCCCAGGCAGCCCTCGGCCACTTCAGCCCGGACACACCTGATGGAGCAACATCAGCGACACCTGGGTGTGTCCCTTCCCAGGGCCCCCAAACACCCATGGCAATGTCTCCATCTTATTCTTTCCAATGTTATCCTTCTCCCCAAAATCCAATATGCATTTTCATTGTGCATCGTGTGGGAAATAACAGAAATAATCATCGCATTACCTTCAGTTTATCAGTAAGAATTTTCCCATATTTCACTGAGGTGTGTTCTCTCTAGATCAGCGGTTCTCAACCTTCCTAATGCCGCGACCCTTTAATACAGTTCCTCATGTTGTGGTGACCCCCAATTTCATTGTTACAAATTGAACATAATTAAAGCATAGTGATTAATCACAAAAACAATATGTAATTATATATGTGTTTTCCGATGGTCTTAGGCGACCCCCGTGAAAGGGTCGTTCGACCCCCAAAGGGGTCATGACCCACAGGTTGAGAACCGCTGCTCTAGATACATATGGAGAGAGCTATATATGGAGATAGATAAATATTCCTTTTTAACAAAATGGGCACCCTATAGTACCACAGTTTTTTAAAACAAGTTTTTATTCGGTCACAAGCATATTCCCCACCGTCATCCATGAATGTTTATTGAACTACCACGGGCCAGGCACTGTTCTAAACACTAGGGGCACGGCAGTGATGGAAGCAGACACCTGGCCCCTCGGCACTCCGTTCCCCTGGGGGAGACAGATACTGGACATCCAGCGCCTCTGAATTCATCAGCACGCAGTGCCCTCAAAGTTAACTATATCCCTTTGAAAGGTGACGTTCAGCGCTGCCCCACCCCAGGGCCCGGAGCACCACGCCTCCTAGACGGGCAGGCGGATCAGCGAGATGTGGAAATGTTGCACAGTGGGCAGCACTGAGTGGAAGAGGGCAAAGGCGGGGGGGCGTGGACATCTGTAACAGTGTCAACAATTTTTACAAAAAAGGAAAAGAAAAATGTTGCTCTGTGGGCCCAGGTGATGTAGGGGCCGCATAGAAAGATTGAAATGCCAGGGGCCATGAGACTGTGCCAGTGGCAAACGCTTGGAGCATTTTGTGTGTTTTAAGTCATTAATTCTACAACCGACTAAGAGGGGTCCTAGTACCATACCTATTTTGTAGTGGAGAAAGTGGGGTGCATAGCAAGTAGACAGGGTTTCTGAGAGTTGAGAGGGAGGCATGAGGCGCTCTAGGGGACGCCGGTCAGTAACAGGGCACCCCATTGGCCACTGCCTTCAGAGGTCGCTGTCCCAGGGCACCAACCTACGCATGCTGTTGCTGCTACTGCTGCTTATTTCTAGTCTTTTCCTGCAGCTTCCAAGGAAAGCAATACAAAAGGGGATGCAGCAGGCCC